TTAAGTAACTTGCTCAGGGTCATGTAGCCAGCAAGTGGTAGTATAGGGATCCCAACCTTGTAGATGGGGACTTCAGAGGGTGACAAGACAGTCACTGAACAGTTTGAGTTCACCCTGCATCTTCATGTTCCATATTGGGGTTGGCAGAATGATGGCCCTGGTGAGATGGGGAAAGTTATTCACAGGAACCTGATCAAGTCAGCTTAAGCAGAGACAAGGACACATTTCCAGGATCTGGGGGCTTCTGGAACCCTACCAGGGAGCTGCCATGGGCCTCAGGGGTACCAGGAACTGCAGCTGGCCTGCAGTCAGGACCTGAGACTGAGTGGCTAGCAGTGCTGCTGCGCCTCACAGCCCTGGAAGCCTGGACGGCCCAACCCATGGTAGGTGGACACCCAAGGGCAGCTGTCCACGAAGGCCTTGATGTGCACAGACCCTGTGAAGGTGTCCTGGGGGAACTCTGAGATTCATCCCTCTATCGTGTATTCTCTTCTTTATGTCCACAGCCCCAGTCAGTAGCATGGTGTTGCACGATGAAGCTTTGAGCTCATTCAAGGGACTGAAGTCATGAATGCAGAAGGCACTGTCCTTAGACCATTCCAGAATGCTGGGAGAAAGGCACGGGCACTCTGTTACTGGAGCTTCTCGTCCTTTGGGCACAGAACTGGATTTCCTGGTTGACAGCTGATGTCAAATTCAAGTTTGCCTTGTCCTAGTCTCCCTCACTGTGCCACAGAGTCTGAGTTGTGTAGGCTGAAGTGTAAAAGCTTGTGCCATAGTCTGGGTTTCTAGTGAAAGGGGATCAGTAGGATGCATTACACACCTGTAGAGAGATCCGTTTTAAGGAACTGCCTCCCCTGACTATGGAGCTGGTAAGTAGGATGTAGAGGCTTGCACAGGTTTCTTTTTGGAGACAGTGTCTCACAGTGTAGCCCAAGCTGGCCTCAAACTTACAGGATCCTCCTTGGGCAGGATTTCTTCAGGAAATCTTGTTTTTGCTCTTAAGGCCTTCACCTAATTGGACAAGGCCCAGCCAGAGCACAGAGGGCCTTTTGTTGTACTTTACATTAGTTGGTTGTGATAAAAACCATATCTCACAGCAAAATACCATACTCCTCGACAACGCCTAGCTCCTAGAACAGCAATTGGTTTGATGGCAACGATGGCCTCTAAGAAGCACTGCAGTGAGATCCCATCCTGCAGGTTAGGGCTCAGTTCTGTGTGGACTGGCTGGGCCCCCAGAAGTCTCTCTTCCCACTCAGTCCTATGCTCCCGCTCTTGCACCTCACAGCAGATTTTCATACACTATTTGTTTTCTTTTATTTCTTGCAATCCTGGAGATTTTACTCAGTCTTCACACTGAGCTACCTAGCTAGACCCTTCCTTTTTTTTTTTTTTTTTCCATTTTTATTTTGAGACATCATCGCACTAAGTTGCCAGGCTGGGCTTGAACTTGCGATCCTCCTGCAGCAGCCTACAAAAGTGCTGGAATTACAGGGATGCACCACTACATGCAGCTAAGGGAAAGGTCTTTTTTTTTTTTTTTTCCTTTTGGTCTCTGTGAAGTGACTTTAGCTAAAGAATCATGGCGCAAGTTAGTTTTTTGCAAGGGATGTGAAGAACAGTGTGGAACAGCCTGATGGGACATGAAGGAGTGCGACGGAATAATGGGCCTTCTCCCATCCTGGGCTTACAATGCTATCAGCAGCTCAGCACAAGAGGGGTGAGAAAAGATGGTTCATCCAGTCACACAAGTGCACCCCTCTGCAGCTCACTGCACAGCACTGCCAGTGCTGCCCAAGGCTGCCCAAGCTGAATTATAAGCCATCAGGAACATGCTACAGTATTTCCATTAGACCATCTAGTAGCCCAGCCAGCCTCTTTTCTACATCAAATATGTGTATATATATATATATATATTTTTTTTTTTTTATTTTTTATTGAGACAAGAGTCTTGACATGTCTTGCTACATGGTTCATGCTGGTCTTGAATTTACTATGTAGCCCAGGCTGGCCTCTAGCTCACAGTGATCCTCTTGCCTCAGTCTCCTGAGTACTGGAATTACACAGGCATGTGCCACCACAACTGGCTGTAAAGAAGTTATAATTATAATTAAAAATTATAATAGAGGTACGATAATTACAAGCAACAAGGAAAGAAACTACTGCCAGAAAGAAAACTATCTTGTATTTGAAAGGAAGGTTCTGGTTTAAGAAACCACTCTAAAGATCCCAGCACTTGCAAGGAAGCTAAAGCAGGAAGATGGCCTCTAGGCAAGACCTAAAAAAAAAAAAAAAAAAAAAAAGGAATCCCTCTGAACTGGTATCGTGAGCTATAGTCGGATGAATCGTCGTCAGTCTAAATAGTTGTGTGACATCTCCATCATCAGTCACTCCTGTCATTCAGACACTCCCAGCTCCCACCCAAGCCCCAAGGAAGCACTGCTCTACTAATCTTCCCAATTTTGCCTTTCTAGAAATTTTATATAAATGAACTACATAGTAGTTTTTGTGTGACTCTGTTCAGCTTTAAGCTACATCCAACTTGTTCCTTTTTTGTCTCTGGGTAGTATTCTGTCCTATATGTTGCATTTGGCGTACCTGTGCCCCAGGTGATGGACATTTGGGCTGTGTTCAGCTTTTGGCTCTAATGCGCAAAGCCGCTCAGAGCATTGACTTGCAACTCAGTTTGGGCATATGTTTGCACTTCTTTTTGACTTAATTTTAATCATTTAACTTCACTGCCATGAAATGTTTGTAAGAGTGGAGAATAGAATAAGAACAAATGTGAATCAGCAAAGTGTTGCGCAGCACCTCCTGCCCGCTGTGTACCCTGCTAGGCGCTGGGCTCTTACCCTCTTCCCTGCAGGAGTCCTTCCCCAGGAGGACCTAGCCTCCAGAGGATAGGGAGCCTCAGGCCCCCTTGACTATCTGGAGTCCATCTCTCCAGCAAGAACCTTATTTTTTGCAGAAGGGCTAATTTAGAGCAAAAGACAAGGCTTTGATAGGCTGCCCCTCCACAAAGAGTTTGTCTTTTCCATAAGAATGAAGAGTCTGCAACTGTGCGTAAGCATAAGCATTCTTTTCTCGTTTCCCTGTCGCCGAAAGGTTTATTTTCTTTGGCTAAAATTTCAGAAAATGCGTAACCAGCGGTATCTGATTGTAACAGGGCACCTCGGATCGGCCACCTGGGGACCGCTCCTCGCAGGCTGCGCAGCCGATGACGAGGGTCCCGTCTGGACGCCTTCCTCCCACGCCCAGGACAGAGGGCGCCAGGCCGGCTCTGCCCATGGAGAAACGCCGCTGCTCTCTGCTAAGAAACCTTCCGGTCCTTGCCCTGCAAAGGAACAGCTTGGCGGGGCGCGTCCGGGTAGCGTGTTGTCTGCGGGCACAGCGGAGCGTTAGCCGCACACTGTCTGTGGCTGGGACCTAACACCTGCCGTCCACAAAGGAGAAACGGCTGTATTCTGGTTCACAGCTTCCGCGGTTTCAATCCGCCTACAGCTCCAAAGCAGGAACGTCTGGGCAGAGGAAAGCTGCTGGCTGCTGGCCTCCCGGCAGCCAATAGCAGTCCTGGAAGGAGCCGAAAAAAGACCCGGGTCAAAGGCTCGCGGCGGGGACGCCGGGAGGCCATGCCCCAGGATCCAGTGGCTTCTCCAAAGACCCACTTCTGAACACACAATCCTTTTGGTGAACATTTCATAGTTAAAGCTATTTCTTTTTCCTCTTCCCCAGACCAGCCGATCTAGCCACTTGTCCAGGACAAGCTCCGCAAACGCAGCGTCAGTTCCGCCTCAGGGCAACAGCTCCCCCTGCTGGTGCTGCGTGGCTACAGTCGCGCTCCGCTCCCTCGGATCCATGAGCCGTTCTAAACCACAGGTGCCAAATGAAGAGCTCTACCTGGTTCTCCAGTACATGCAGATCACCTAAATTCCTTACCGTAGTCGAAAGAGTCTTTCCCTTAGCTCAACTCTTGCCATTCCCTTTCCTCATTCTGGACCAACATTCAGGCCCTCACAGGGGCTTTGGTCTTCTCTGGACCTTCATACAAGCTGTTCCTAATGCGCTGTGCTGACTCGAGCTTTGGTACCCACTCCCCGACTGCCTCTCCCAGGATGCAGTGTTAAGCCAGGTGCCTCTGCCCTGTGCCCCATAGCACTGTTTCCTGCTTCAGTTCCAGCGCTGGCTGCACTGCAGTACAACCGCCTGCCTACTGGATGATCCACTTTCCTGCAGACCGGGGACTGCCTTCCTGGACCCAGGACGGCACTCAGGACATGGGCATGGGCACGGGCATGGCACGCGGAGGGCGTCCAAACATCTGGATACTGGGAAATGTTTTCAACACACCTACCCAGATCACCAGGGGATGTTCTTGTGGCCTGCTGTTTTCCCTTGGCCCAGAATGACAGTTATTTCCACATCCAGTAAAAAGCAGTTTCACAGCAGCTTAAAAGGGAAACATCAGTAAATTATGTACCAGATGGCTGAGTGTGGCCACAGGAATACACTCAACAAAATTACAGGGAGAGAACAAAATGGCTAAGAGTCCAGGCAGAGGTTTGGCCACCCGCAGATGAAGCTGTGGCCTGGAGACAGCTTTCACTTTCAAAATCTTTTCATGATCCTCCAGTGCCTTGTAATTGGAAAAAGGGCTTTTATCATTTGGAGTAAGGAGAATGAGTGTATAATTCTTTACGTACCTAAAACTTGGTTGAGTATCAAAATATTTCCATTTTATTTCTCCATTATAAAGTCCTAACTATTACTATTTTGGGATTGTTTCGGGTTTTTTGAGACAGGGTCTTGCTTTGTAGTGCAGGCTGGCCTGAACTCACTATGTACCCAAGCTAGACTCGGGATCCTTCTGCCTCACCTCAGCCTTCCAAGTGCTGTGATCACAGATGTGCACCACAACATCCAGCTTATACATTTATAATTTTAACGACCTTGATCACTAGCTACTATAATATTGAAAACAAAGGAGGAAAAGATGAAAGTTTTTGTTTTTTATAAAGTGCAGATTTAATTTTCTATCGTTGGCCTCCGTAAACATCTTATTTCAGGTCCTTCCCACTCCAACCCAAGGAAGGAAGGAAGAGGAAAAGCTACTTTTTATTTTTACTGAAACACCTAACAACAAGAAAAAATGATTTAATAAAGACAAATTTTTGCAAGCATATTTCCAGGTAAAATTCCAAAGGACAATAGTACTAAGTGAAAAGTAACCTTTCATAATTAATATACATAATAAAACAGTGCACGATTTAGGCATCCATGCTTATTTGGCAATTTTAAGGTCTCCAATTATGAAAAAAGTACACAACTGAACAAGAAGAGTTGCCTTGATGTGGACCAAATCATTGTTATTGGAGTTGTATGAAGATATTCCTGGTGTTGGCCCCTGCAAGAAGTTGATTCTCCCTCATCGATTACAGAAAGTCACTACTTCAGTCCTACAGACATCACCGTTCAAAGGGAGCTTCTTGCTTACTCTACCATACAAACACAGCATCTCTTCCAAAGACTAGTGCTAGCAACAGGGCTAAATGAAGAGTACTAGTGGCTTAAGTCTGTCGAGTGCTTACTTCTGTAGCAGTATAAATACAGATTATTAAAGTTCTCTACTCAAGTATAAAGTCTATGCAAAACTCTCATAATATAGGCAAAATGTTCAATGGCTAAGAAAAACTTTCTTTTACAAGAAAGTGCAACTGCAGGGTCTCCTGAATGATCTTTTAAACAGTTCTGCAGAAAACTTAGCAGTTTGGCTCAGAAAGTAGAGTTCCCCATGAGGAATTAAAGTTCTTCCTAGAAGAATACAAAGCAAAATTTCAGGTAGCTTTCTGAAAAGAAACTGTTGATTTATGGTTACACAATGAGACAAACAGGAAGCTGAAATGAAGACATGTGCTGTGGTCTGCATGGGACTGGACATAAGCCTTTCCCCTTACTTCAGGACACCGGCCGGTTCAGGACGCCAGACACAGCGCTGACAGTGCTCTGCCAGACTCTGGTAGCAGGCGAGACACTAATCAGCTGGGAGAAAATCACAAGTGTTTTCATGTGTTTCAGTGTTTTCCAGGTCAAATCTCAATACTTTCAAATAAATCATTTAAAAATATAACATTTCCTCTGTGATTTCCAGTATTTTACATAGTTAATGGATAATTAGAAAGAAAGGAGAGCTTTTTAACAGTCACCAGCCAGACCTTCTGGCTCAGTCAGATTTTCAGCATTTGCTCAGCTGCTGCTAGATGGTACAGGAAGTTTTCCGTGGCTGGTGGAAATCGCTTTTGCTTTAATGCCTCAAAATTGAGGACTCGCTTTCCTCCATCATCCACGACTTCTGAAAATGGTGCTAGGTTGGTGAAGATTTCTTTTGTTTTGAGGGCAATATCCTTCAACAGAACAAGAAAATGTGCAATGTTTTTACCATCCCAAGAGGAAACACATTAAGCATAACTCCCATCCCCTCCCCTCTCCTCCAAATCACGCTGACCTCTATTTTACTTCTTGCTGTATGAATCTGGCCTGTTCTAGGTACCTCGTCTAAGTAGAATCATATAACATCTGTCCTTTGACTGGCTTTTTGCACACAGCAGTCTGTCCTAATGTACTCAAGGCTCACTCACGTTCTAACATGTATCAGAACATCAGTCTTTTCTATCACTAAGTACATGTGTAGACTGCATTTTGTTTATTCATCTGCTGACTTGAACTTGGGCTTCTTCTATCTTTTGCCAGTCGTGACTAATGCTTCACCCAACATATAGAAATCTGTTAGGAGTCCCTGCTTTCACCTCATTTCAGTCCAAACCTGGAAGTGGAATTGCTGAATCATATGGTCATTCTATGCTGATTGGTTTTTGGACAAATCTCTTCCCAGTAGCTGTCACTCCGGGGGACAAGAAACCCAGCACCTGGCACATGCACTTTATTGCTGGCTACTGAATGACCTCATCCAGGAAACTGAGGATTCACAGGAGTTCACATGATGTCATACTGGTTTGGTGACATCATTCATTAACTCCTAACTCATTCAAATAGATTTGAGCCCCCACAACATGCTGAGCACTTTCACTTTCTCTCAAGGCCACATTCATTATGCTCAATCATTTATGCATCATTTCCAGTCCATGAAAAATAATTCTAACACAAATAATCCAAAAAAAAAAATTTTTTTTTTTGTCTTTTTCCTTTTTATTGGTACTGGGGATCAAACTCAGGACTGCCTGCTTGCAAGGCAGATGCTTATGCCGCTGAGCTAAATCCCCAGCCCCAATAATCCAAAAGTTAAATTAACATTATTTCACTACCATTGTGAAGAATGTTTTTGCATAATTATGGGAGCTGAAGCCAACTGGCATAAGGAAAAAGGTGTCTTCAGAGAGTCTCGGTGTTTGGGTCCTTTGGACAAGACCCATCTACTCACTCTTCTGGTCATACCTGAAAAGTGCCGCTGGCCAGTCCCTGCCACAGTGTGGTCACTTTATCTTTCTGCTCATGTCACCTCTCAAAGAACACTTCTCTCATCCCAGTATTTTCTACCTCAGTCTCTTGTTTGTGTGCAGCATTTACCAAGGCTTGTGGTCCGTTACTGCACCATGTGGGACCAAATAAGTTAACCCCACAGAGAGGCCTCTTGGTGGCATGCTCCTTAGGAGAGGAGCAGGAAGTGGGCAGCAGGGAGCGGGAAGCAGGCCATGTGAAAGGGGCTATAGGCAGAAGGGAGGGAGACTGTGCAAGCCACAGTCCTGGGAATGAGCTTTGGCACAATACAAAAACCCAGGCAATAAACACCATTTGTGATCTTAGTCTGGCCAGGTCAGGAGAAGGGGCCATCTGGTGCGCAGGGACCCTCCACGTGAGAGGAGCTGGCACTGCAGGATGTGACAGCAGTCTGGATCCCGTGATTACTGCTGTCCTGGAAACAGCACAGCAGAGCTAAATTATGAGCACCTGCCCAGTTGTCCACACTCAGCAACAACCCTGTCTTTAAAATTTATTCCTCTATGAAAATTTAAGGAGGATATGCACCAGCTAGTCCGAAAAAGCAGTCCAGCTCCCTTGGCAGTGACACTTCTCATAATCATGGTTGTCCCCAGAGCCTGCTCACTGAGTGAGGCTCGGAGTCATGCACCTGCTCTCCCATCACTGCAGTGGCCACGCTGCAAACCCGCACCTGAGCACCTGCCACTGGCCCACCTCCAAGCACAGAAGGAAGTGAGCCCCCTGCCACACACTCCCAGTGAGGTGCTGCGGGACCCCAGGAATATGCACATCAGGGTTACCTGTATAACCTGGCTGTCTGACTTATTGGGATCTTCTGCTGACTGGACAATCAGCTGGCCGATTTCTTTGTGCAGTTTGCCCATTGTCATGGACTCTGGTGAGAGATAAAGGAGTACATTGTGCAAATATGTGGATGTTTACAGAATAAAAAATAATTAGCTATCTAACTAAAAACTTGAAAGACTACACTGAGAGAATTTTCCAAAAGCAATGGAGGGCTGGGTGTAGTGGCACATGCCTGTAATCTCACCACTCGGGAGGCTGAGGCAGGAGGATCATTTTGAGTTCAAGCCCAGTCTGGGCCACAAAGTGAGTTTAAGGCCTGTCTGAATTACAAACCAAGACCTTGTCTACAAAAAACAAAAACAAAGCAATGGATAAACCTTCACATTTCCATTTTATTATTAAACACATGTGGTGACATGCTAAGAGATAAGGCATACTTCATGGCCAAAAGAAAAAATATCAATACGAAACCAAATTTGCCTACCCCACCCATCTAATAAGAATTATTTTTCTTTTTTCTTTATTTTTGCCAGGTGGGAAGTGGGGGAAGGTTTGAGATAAGGTCTTACTATGTAGTTCAAGCTGGTCTGGAACTCAAAAGCAATCCTCTGGCCTCAGCCTCCAAAATGCTGCAAATTACACACATGTCCCACCACACCCAGTTAAGAATTATTTTTCTTTCCAATAAAATCTCATGAAAATTCTGACTACAAATAAGTTGTGACTTTAAAACCAGAGCTCAACTTTTTGTTCAAGTCTTTACAGTTAAGAATTTGAGGGGCTGGGGATTTAGCTCAGCGGTGTAAGCGCCTGCCTGGCAAACATGAGGTCTGATCCCAGGTACCAAAAATAAAATAAGATAAAATAAAATAAAAAGAATTTGAACCCATCCAGGTATGGTGGTACATGCCTATAATCCCAGCACTCAGGAGGCTGAAGATTGCTGCAAATTCAAGGCCAACCTGAGCTACAAAGTGAGTTCCAGACCAGCAAAAACTGCATTGCAAAACTCTGTCTCAAAAAGGAAAAAAAAAATTTAAACCTGGCATCATGGTACATGCCTAGAGTCCTAGCACTTGGAAGGTTGAGACAGGGGGATCACCACAAATTCAAGGCCAGTCTAGGGTACATGGTGAATTCAATGCCAGTATGAACTACATAGTGAGACTCTTGTCACAAAAAGAGAGAGATAGAGACAGAGACAGAGACAATTTAAATGAGCCTGGCAAGGTCATAAATATCTGTAATCCCAGCACTCTAGAGAGGCTATGGCAGGAAGATTGAAAGCTCAAACTCAATCTAGGCAATTTAGCATCTTAGCAAGACTTTGTTTCAAAAAATAAAAGGGAATACTCAGTACAAAGGTCCCGGGTTCAAACCCTAGTATTCTCCACCAAAAAAATATTGAAATTCTGCTGGGAATGCTGAAAGAAGTGCTTCCTGTCAGTTCTACAGAAGCCAGCTGAGCATTCCATGTGTTCAGGCCTTGGAGAAATGAGCAAAGAAAGCCACAGAAGTTACATGAACCACAGCAGTGCTACTGTCTGCAGCACAATTAACCGGAAGTTGTCTATCACTCCCAGGGACAAGCTCCATTTGAATGGCATGGACTGAACGAACACATTTTAGACTGAGAACAATGATGGCACAGGGAGATGGCCACTTCCTGGTTTTCACCAGAGATGCTGTCAGCAGTTTAGAAGGCTCTGGCCACAGCAAGCTATTTCTTTGGCTTTATAGAAGGGGGTACCTCCTAAAGACCTGATTCAAGGGTTTCAATTTTCCATATGAACAGCATTATGCTTGACATTTTAAAAACAACGAAAAAAATTTCTGGTTTCATTTATGTGAAGTCACAAGATAAAACTTCACATGAGCTAGGTGTGGTGGTGCACACCTGAGAATCCAGAGGCAGGAGAATTGCCTCACCTTTGACATTAGCCTGGGATATATGGCAAGTATACAGCCAGCTTGAACTATATTACAAGACCTGTCTTAAGAAACAAAGACAAAACGCTGGGGATTTAGCTCAGTGGGCTGGCAGGCGCAAGGTTGTGAGTTTAATCCCCGGTACCAAAAAAAACAAAGACAAAACAACAAAATACTCAACACGATTGGGGGTCTAACAAAGGTCCCTAATGAGCCAAAACTCAACTGCCTCACTTGTAGGAAAAAGGTAAGCAACCACACAAAAGCTATTATCAGTAATCTCATCTGCCCGGCTACCATGTCTAGATCTGTAAAGATAAATGTTCAGAATCTAGACGCCAAAAATCTCTTCTGCTTCACACAGCAGGGTAGGCAGGCCTTAACTACTGGTCTTAGAGTTAGCTTAAAAAAAGCACAACTACTTGGCTTACATCTCCTGTCACCAATGAAATAGAGGAGAACAGAGCAGAGAACTAACCTTTTGCAAGTGGAGCGATGGTGATCTCACTCTCTGCCAGATTCACAAACACATCATACAGATCTGGTCTATTGCTCACCTCCAGATCTACAAATCCAGCGACATAGCCTGCATTACAAAGATGACCAAATTACTAGAAAGAAAAAAAATCACACTGCAAATGTATCAAAAGAGAACTAAGTCTAACCGTGTATCAGGTGCTTAGTGATTTTATTTCAATAGTTGTTCTCTGTGGCATTCATTATGACCACATCAGAGCTGGGCATAATGGTGCATGCTTGAAATCCCAACACCCTCAGTGGCTGAGGCCGGAGGGTCAAGCATTCAAACCCAATTTGGGCAAATCAGTCAGATTCTGTCTCAAAAAAATGGGCTGGTGCCACACATAGTGACGCATACCTGTAATCCCAGCACTTGGGAGGCTGAGACAGGAGGATCATGGTGAATGCAGGGCCAGCTCAGGCTACACAGTGAATTCAAAGCCAGTTTGAATCACACAATGAGACTCAAACTCCAAAAAAACAAAACAAAACAAAACAAAACACACCCCAAAAAATCAAAATCCAAAAAGACAACATCAAGAATGAGCTGGGGTTGTAGCTCACTGCAAGGGCCTGGGTTCAACCCTCAGTACCACACACAAACAAAACATAAAAGTGACTATATTAATTATATTAATTGTCTGAAGAAATTCACGTAACTCAAAATGCTTCACAATGTGACTTGAATATGAAGGGATGAGCCTGAGGTTAAACGCTTACTTTTCAGGCACTGCTTTCTGGGTTAGGAAGGGCAGAGGAGGCAGAAGATAGCAGGGACTCACTAACCCAAGCTTTCCCTCAGAGCCACGCTGAGGAACTTCCAGCCAGTTGCCCACCCTGGTTTTCAGGGGTAACATGGGAAAGGCACACCCTTCACTAGGCAGATTTGACACTGTAAGTGTGAGAGAACTCAGGACTTCTGAAATCAGTTTTGCTGTACAATGATGGTGCCCAGACTTCTTTATTTCATAGAGCCACATAATTACAAAATGCTGGGGGGAATATCCAAAGTATCATTGCTAAATATTTAATTTACCACAAGTAAGGACATTTAAAATATAACAGCAATAAAAACAAAACCTACTATGGAAAGCCAGACCCAGATCAAATTACATTAGAAAATGCAACACATAGCAGAATGATACTGCTGGTTATGGAGAGAGGAGGAAATTATTCACTAAATATCCTGAGCTCAGTGATCATCTATGCCAAATGAAAACATAAAAAGAAATAGGGCCGCGGTGGAGGTCAGCTGAGGTGAGTGCTTAACACACACACAACCCTGGATTCAATTCCTGGCACCAAAAGAAAGAAAGCAAAGAAGGAATTAGACCCCAAATTTACACATTACACACAAAAAACTTCTGGTAGATTAAAGAATTAAATAGGAGAAAAATTTTTATAAGACCATATAGTAGTACAGGGTACTTCCATAATCCCAGCACTTGGGAGGCTGAGGCAAGAGGACTGCCGTGAATTCAAGGTCAGCCTATGTCAAAAATAAACAATAGTGTATCATAAACAATATGTTGTTTAGAAACATGTTTTTGAATGCATATGGCCAAAGGAGGGGAGTGAACTCATGACAAAATAAAAGAGAAAGATTAGCTCTGGATGGGAAAACAGGTGGAATAAGACCAATGAAGCATACTTAAAAACACAGATAGAGTTGGGCATGGTGGTGCACACCTGTAATTTCACCATTCAGGAGGCTGAGGCAGAAGGATCACCTGGAGTTTGAGGCCAGTCTGGGCCACAAAGTGAGTCCAGGCCAGTCTAAAACTACATAGCGAGACACTGCCTCAAGAACCAAACCAAAACAAAAACCCACTGACAACATTCCACCTTTTCATCTGTCTGGCAGGTCCATTAGTATTTTTATTTTTTATAATTTACACAATTATTATATCATTTTGTATTTAAGAAACAATTACTAATTTAAAAAACAACAAAAGTCTACCATTTATTAACATCACTGTTTTTTATGAAAGGATCTTTTAATATTATAAAAACACAGCACATAATAATCTTAACTTTAAAAATAAGATAGGTGTGGTAGAATAGACCTGAAACAGAGGATTGCTGCAAGTTTGGGGCCAGCCTGGATTATATGAGAACAAAGCCAGCATGAACTATAAATAAAGTGAGACTCTGTCTCAAAAGACAAAACAAAAATTAATTAATTTTTTAAAAAAGTACCACTAGAGAACTGAGGTTCCAATAGATATGGGTAATAATGTATTATTAAATTATTTACAGGATCTTTTTCCTTTTTAGAGACTCGATAAGTATAATTATATAAGTATAATTAGTGACTCTTTTTTTTTTTTTTTTAAATCTTTTTATTGGTACCGGGGATCGAACTCACAACCGCCTGCTTACAAGGCAGGTGCTTATGCCACTGAGCTAAATCCCCAGCCCCTAGTGACTCATTTTTTTTTTTTTTTTTTTTTTTTTTTGTATTTTTACCGGTACCAGGGATTGAACTTATGACTGCCTGCTTGCAAGACAGGCGCTTATGCCACTGAGCTAAATCCCCAGCCCCAAGTGACTCATTTTTAAAATGAGTAATTTTTCTTGAAAAATTATAGAAAGGCTCAAAATAAAGTCTAAATATTCAAAATCAAATCACTAATAAAACTTAAAATGAGAAGACGGAACTAGGTGTGCTGATGCACGCCTATAATTCTAGCATTCTGGAAGCTGAGGTAGAAGGATTATAAATTCAAGCCCAGCCTGGGAAACTTAGCAGCTTAGTAAGACTCAGTCTCAAAAACTGAAGAAAGCTAAGCATGAAAGCTCTAGATTCAATCTTCAGTATGAGAAAAACAGACTCAGATGGACAGATAGATAGGACGAACTAGGGGTGAAAGGTACAGCTTACTGGTAGAGTACTTGCACTACAGGCTCTGGGTTCAATAGCTCAAGAAGAAAAAAAAGACAAAACTTTATAAGGTAACAAAAGAAACCTTTACCCCCCAGGATGTGCTAGTCTACCTGTGCATGTCTGCAGGGCTTCCAGCTCGTCAGTACTGAGATGCACGTAAGAATGCAGGATGCTCCAATCCTGTCGGTGCCACACCAGGGCAGGCAGCGTCCTGGGGAATCAAGGCAAGAGCTCAATCACATGGTCACCGGCCCACACCTCAGGGACTGCTCCAAATCCTTCCATTTCCGAGGAGGAAATGAGAAAGGCACAGTCCCTCAGCTAGGCAGAGGCAGGGGCAAGACCATACCTCAAATGTGCTAACACCTCCAGACTTTACATTAAAGTGATGCCAGTTTTAATCTCTGCTTTTTTTGGGGGGTAACTGACTACAGAACAGTCCAGGTGAAGTGTCCAAAGGACTCCATGGTAACAAAAAGAGATGTTCCTAAAGTTTCCCTCTAAATATCTTACTCTGCAGACTGCTGGAAAGAAGGATGCTGGGGCTTAGCTCTAAAGTGTCCCTTGTAAATAAGAAATTTTCTGAGCCAGCTGTGGCACATACCTATACATCTACCACTTCTGGAGGGTGAGACAGTAGGACTGCAAGTTTGGATCTCGCCTGGGAATTTAGTGACTTAGTGTGACTGTCTAAAAATAAAACACAAAATATCAAAGGGCAGGGGATGTAGCTCAAGGCAAAGATCCCGGTTCAATATCCAGTACTGACAGAAATGTAAGAAAAAAAAAATTTGAAGCAAAACAAATACTGCAAGAAGATGTGCTGGATTTACCTGTGCATTCAGGAATCTCCCAGTATCCTATGATGTCATAAGCTACAGCTACCTCAGTTTAAGAAGTATAAATGTAAGGAAAAGGTAATGGGGTATGAAAATACAGTTTGAACCAGTGTGGTGGTGCATGCCTGTAATCGCAGCACTCAAGAGGCTGAGGCAGGATGATTGTTTCAAGTTTGAAACTGGCCTGGACTACAAAATGAGCTCAAGGCCAACCTGAACTGTATAGCAAGACCTTGTCTCAAAAAGACCAAAAAAGAAAAATACAGTTTGAAATGGAGGAGGGCACAGTGAAAATTCTTTTTTTTTTGTCTTTTTCGGTACCAGGGATCGAACTCAGGACTGCCTGCTTGCAAGGCAGGCGCTTATGCCACAGTGAAAATTCTAGCTGTCTCACATAAGAAGTGGCAATCAGTCACATAAATTATTTCTACTCCTAAAAGCAAATTAATTGACGATCTTCCTGCCTTAGCTCCCAGAGTGATGGGATTACAGGTGGGCATACCTGGCTCATTTCCAAGACTTTAACCCAGGTCTCACTGAGGCCCTTCTCTTCCCATTGTCTTACCACTTAACCTCTGCAAGCCTCAATTTTCTCATTCATATAATAAGGTAGTAACGCTTTCTTACCGAGTTCTTAGCGTGAGTAAGCTTAATAACTTAAGGCATCTTACATAATGCCAGGCATGCAGTAAACCTGCACAAATGCTAACTCCTCTTGCTTTTTAAAAAGAATCTATGGACAAGCTAGATTTAATAAACAAACAAGCAAACATCCTATCTTTTTTTCTTTTTCTGGGGTGGAGAGGTGGGGAGTGGCACCAGAAATCGAATCAGGACCTCACACTTGCTAGGTAGTTGCTGTGCCACTGAGCTAAATCCCTGCCCCTCACCACCTTGTTTTTCTTGTAACAGAGTCTGGTAACACTGAATAGAAAGAGCAGCTTAGTTAAACAGGACTCAGCAAACTACAGCCTATGGGCCAGTGTCCTATCTTTGTAAATAAAGTTTTACTGACAGAGTCTACTCATTCATTTATACATGTCTATGGTTGGTTTCGTGCCACCCAGGCAGCTGAGTAGTTGGGATGAAGGCTGCATGGCTTATGAGCCTAAAATATTTTCTTTCTCGCAAGAAAATGTTTGCTAACACCATGCTCCAGAATAGCCTTATTTCTAAAGTGAAAGAACAATCTGTCCCAATTCAGGGACCTTGAACCATAGATCTAAACTGAAGCATTAGACAAAAATGGCATTTCATCGTCAGACCAATGCATTACACTATTTATATCAAATGTGCAACAGAATACAGCACACAAGAACATCTAGCATTCTAAACTGTCTGCCAAGAGATTTCACACTTTTAAATAATTAGTGACAATACCTGGTAAACTCTTGGACAGCTTCTATTTTGGGGTGATAGATGACAACTCGTTTTTTCAGCATCAGTGCCATGTGCAATATAACAGTTTCCATCCCAAACTGAGACACAATGTCTTAAAGAAAGAGCATAATGATATAGCATTAAGTAGTATACAACATAAAGTTTTTATCAAAGTGAATTCTTGTCACAGAAATGCAAAATTACTTTTAATACAGAGAATAAGTTTAGGCAAATATAAGTAGTACAGAAACACCTCATTTGGTGGATGGGCATATTTTCCCAAATGCTGAATGCACAAATGAAATGGAATAAATAACATGAAGGAGAAGCCATGTCTTTCCATGTCATGAAAAAGTCCTAATTAAAAAAAAGAAATGTTCACTATCCCCTGCCCCATAACATTTCTTCAGTGCTTTGCAGCTAGCTTGAAGAACACTGAATATCTCAATAGGATGCTGAGACTGAAAAGGCCAACAGATCAAGAGCAGATGGGCAGGCACTGTGGGAGGTAGTGCAGCGGAAGCCTCGCCTTTGGAGTTCTTCCCTCCTCTCTCTCAAGGACCCCGAAGGCCCTCGGCTGCCTCTGTCATTCTGCATTTCCCAGCTGGTAGCTGGGCCGGGCACTCTAGAGACTTGAGTGCTTCAGATGGAAGAGATAAGATCTGCTAAGATCGAAGGAAAGAACTATGAAGACCCAAACCATGAAATGCAGCATATAGATGAAAAACTACTTCCATAGTAACAGAATAATATGGGAAGAAGGCCCCCAAAATATTTTCCTTTGACAGAATTCTAACTCTATAAGGAAATATGGGACCTAGAATATCCTCCTATATAAGAAAAACAAGAACACAGATGAAAAAAATGCATGGAAAGAGGGCACTAGTCCAGTGAGAGCTTGTCCTGGGCTCAGCATTTTGTTGTTGGTCTCACTTTTTCTTTTTTTACCTTTGATGGAGCCTGCAAGGTATGCTTTTCGAACATCAAAGTCCTTGCTAAGGAAAGAGCCATTTTCTTCACTTTGACATATCCCCTTTGTAAGAACTGCAATGTAACTCTCCATCATTTTAACCGGGGTCCCGTGCTTCAAATATATTCTGTAAGAGAGGACAAAAACAGATTGTGCTTTTACTTGGCATAGTGCCATGGAGATACGCAACAGGGCTAGGCAGGGCCACTTTCTTAAAACCCTAAGGCCAACTTGCTACCACACTTCTGCTGCCTGAGTCTTTTCACAGCATGTATTATATCTCCAGTTTAGTTAAGACACTCTGTTTAATAAAACAACATGACAGACCTTCAACAGTTCTTTGAAGGCAATCCTTTCCCTGCATCTGGAGAAGAGCACTGCAGTCTCTCACAGCAGGATCAACTGTGGACTTTAATTCTGCAGAGCTGGAGGTTGAATCCAGACCCATGGGCACACTCAACAAGAGTGCGCTACAGCCCACAGCCCCAGGCCAATTGTGGTCTCCCTGCAGCCCCATTATTCTCAAGAACATCACTGCTTATCTCTTTTATGTCTCATGCTCACAACTGGTGTTCTTAGTCATACAACTCTATTTTATTGCTGCAATTTCCTTTGACAAGAAAGGAGTTTTACGCATTGTTCACAGAGAAAGCAGTAATTAGATGTAGAACCCATACTTATTATCAGAGCTCCTGAGGTAGCTATATTTAGATAATTAAGAAATCCAAGCTCTTGAAGTTTCCAGTGATAAATGCACATTAGAGACACTCGTCATCAATTTAAGACTTCCCGAAAATGCTGACAGGAAACTGGCTACATTTATAGCCCACATGTGGAGTCAGTTGCTTTCCCTTGAAATCTCTTCCTGTGAACAACTACAAAATTTTGCTTGAAAAACATGACTGGGAGCTGGAAGTGCAGCTCAATGGCAGGGTGTATGCATATCATGCAGATGGCCCTGGGTTCAACCCTCAGCAGCCCCTCCTCCCAAGAAACCAGACAGAGTGGATCCACTTGGGTCTTTCAGCAAGTAACATCACAAAGAATCAGGAAGAAAATACAACTGATGTTTATGAGAGACACTTGAGAATTATATTTATTGTAGACTGAGTGAAAAAAGGAAAAAAATCTATTCTTTAACAGCTTACCATATTTTGTCAATCATTCATTTTTTTAGTTTTTAAAAATCAATTCAATTGACAAATTGATAAAAAAGAGGTGGAGAACAATGAAGAGTGGGCTTTCATATATGAAAACCCATGAACTAAAATACAGGCTTATATAGGGAAAAAGACCTCTCTACTGGGATATAAAAGAGATTACAGGGGTTGTGTGAGGAGGGGGTAGAGAAAAAAAACTTTTGTATTACTGGTATTTTTAATTACATGCTTTACTACTAACACCAAAAATTAGTATTACAAAATTTAAAAAAAAAAAAAAAAAACACAGGAATGGACAAGACAAACATAAGAAAATGAAAATTGATGGGATAAGATGACTTCCTACAACCCTGGATGAGAGATGCAACAGAGAAAACAATTCCCCAAAATTATTCTACAGGAGAACCACACAGGGCAGCTCAGAGAACCTTGTTCAGACAGACAAATACAATCTGCCATAGCTGACCTGCAGAGCCGAATCCAAATGTGCATAAAACCCTTGCTCTCCCCAAAACTTGTTTAACTATTATGTTATGCATAACTATTATGTCCATGAGAACACAATACACTAATGGAAAGCACACACACACACACAGCTGGGTGCGGTGACGCTCCCCTGTAATCCCAGCACACCAGGCGGCTGAGGTAGGGCTGTAAGTGTGAGCCCAGCCTGGAGAACTTTATGACTTAGTGAGACCCTGCCTCAAAATAAAAAAAACAAAAAAGAGCCAGGGATATCTGACCTCACTTCCTTTGCCCTGGGATAGCTGAGGAGAATCCAAAATGTTGTGATGCCACTGCACTACAGAATCTACATTCCTTTCAGGCTTCTTTGTGGGGTCTGAAACAATCTTGATTTCTAGACTCCAGAATGTTCAGCCCAATAACTTAACCTGATTCAACTGCATGAAATAGGAAACTAGTGTTTGTGCAAAATATCTCTCTCGTATTTTTAGTTTATTGCTTCTGAATAGCAATGCTAGCCTCCTTTGCGTCCGTGCCACACTGGAAGACAGTTGTTTATATTCCACAATGAGCCATATACGGCACCTGGAATTTATCTTACAACAGCCAGAAGTCTTTCTTATTGTAGCCAGCTGCATAAACAGCAAAACCTCATTTAGTCAAAACACAATCTAACTGGAAGCCCTTTGGTAATGAAATAACCTGAGGTAATGAGGTTTTGTTCTGTTTTTGTTTTTGTTTTCTAGGGAGTGTGTATTAGCAAGGGCATACAAGCACGAAAAAGGGAAAAAGGCAAGCATTTATTGGACTTTCGTTTTTTTACACTACCTGGGAATGAACCCAGGGCTTTTAATAATAAGCACACTACCACTGAGCCACGGAACATCCCCAGCCTATTTATTGGACTTATAGTGGCGAAAGACATAAATGATTTTCTTCATCTCCCAGAAAAACTACTGGGTAACAGCCCAAAGGCTAGAGATTATACATAATATCTAGAATTACAATTTAATCTAGTGATAATGTTAAAAAACACTAAAATTAAAACCCTGTTAAAGACTTTATCGTTAAAGAAAGTTAATATCCCTAATATATAAGAAAGATTTAAGTCCACTAGATGTACTAAAAGAAGTAGACTGGTATATTTTAGATAAGTATTTTCAAACCTAGGGTGAAACTAGTCTGCTTGAATAAGTATCCAAAATTTCCCAGCCCCTCAGCATTCCAGCTGAGAAATATTTTCCTATGCTCTACCATAATTCAAAATCTCCATTGACTTTCTTCAAAATAACAGTCTCACACAAACATAGGCCCATATGAACCACTTACCACTTTATAATGCACTAACTTATTCATCCTGCTAAGGAAACTCCAGGACTGTAAGTGGGTAGAAGGAACAGAACCAAAGTGCCAAGTAAACACATCCAAAAACTGTAACAGTTGTGCAAACTGCTTTTTCTCTCCCCCAGGCCCATTTTCCCAAAGCATACGAGAAATCAGTAAAGCAGAAGAGCAAGTCCTCTACCAAACAGCCTCTCTGGGGCTATTCTAGATTAAATCAGGGAACAGAGGGTTGCTATTTTCTTCCTTCATGTGGAAACCTGCTGTGTAACTACTGAAGGAGAATCTTCATTTTGGTATGTTAGCATTTAACACAGTTTTCATACAGACCTACACAATATCCTAGTGAAGGCGGCATATTTCTCTGGGTTAAAATCTTTGGCGGTCAGAACAATAGAAAAATGAGTCACCTGTCCAGAGAAACAAAAGAAGTACACTTTAAAAATATATTTTAATAGAAGTTAATACATACTTTAATGAAATAATAATTTTACTTCTCTATTCTACCAAACCTCCAATACAAGGCATACCAGCATTAAAAGGAAAAGATTAAAATTTAAAGTCTTCCCTTGCTTCTCCATAATTTTATCTGTGTGTTATATGTGTTATTATACATACATATATTTATTTCCCATATAAGAGTACACAGTTTTAGAAAAAAATTTTTCTTCTTTTTTTTTTTTTTTTTTTTTGGTCTTTTTCCTTTTTATCGGTACCAAGGATCAAACTCACAACTGCCTGCTTTCAAGGCAGGCGCTTATGCCGCTGAGCTAAACCCCCAGCGCCGAAAAAATTTTTTCAAAAAATATTTCATTAAAATATCAAAAATAACCCAAGAAGCTGAGGTAAGAAGATTGCCGTGAGTTTGAGGCCAGCCTGGGCAACACAGTGAATGAGTTCAAGGCCAGTCTGAATTGCACAGCAAAACACTGTCTCAAAAAAAAAAAAAAGTTCCAATTTAATAGCCCCTAATCTCATCAAAACAAGCAGGATGGTAAATCAGATTTATTGAAGAAATACATTTTCAAAGATCATATTTTGAAATATAGAAATAAGTTCACTGTTTCTCAAATCTGAAAACCAGATGTGACATGAACGCTGCTGTCCTGTGGCAGTCTGGAATGTGAAACATGCAATAAAGCCACTGGAGGGTGTGGCAAGGCTTTCGGTGCAGGTTGTGGCTGCACACGCCAGTAATCCAGCGCTCTGGGAAGCTGAGACAGAAGGACCAAAACTTTGGCCCTAGCCCAAGCAACTGAGTGAATCAGAATGACCCAAGTTCAAAATAAGAAACAAACAGAAAAGGAGGGAGGGGGCCGAGGATGCAGCTCAGTGTAAAGGTCCCAGGTTCAATCCCCAGTACCAATGGGAAAAAACCTAAAAGCCAACATGTTAAATTGGTATTCTGGACATGCTGTACACAGTATCATTATGACTAAAAAACTAACTCTAGGGGCTGAGGATTTAGCTCAGCGGCATAAGCGCCTGCCTTGCAAGCAGGCAGTCGTGAGTTCGATCCCTAGTACTGATAAAAACGAAAAAGACAAAAAAAACTAACTCTGAAAAGGAAAAGAAGCCCCCTCCATATATACAAGAGGCTCAGGCACTTTGTTCCAATTTTTTTTTGGAAAAAATCTGCCTGCTTAGGGTAAGAAAGTGCATGATAGCCTCTCAATGAATTTTCTCACACTGATACTGTTTATATCATTAAAACCTACTTCATTCATAAACTTCTTTAATTATATCTCTCAATTTTTAACATATATTTATCATTCACAAGCAAATGAGAAAAATTCTTAAGTCCTCTAAAAATAGTTTTTAATTGTGGAAAAATGTTTCTTTCAACTTTATTATTGTTATTATTTATTTTTATTTTTTATTTTTTGGTTTTTTGAGACAGGGTCTCACTACATATTTCAGGCAGGCCTTGAACTCAATGTGATCCTTCTGCCTCAATCTCCTGAGTAGTAAGGATTCAGGTGTGTGCCACTACCCCCAGCTGCTTTTTTCTCACTTTTAATCAAAGTCATCGCTTTGAAACTACATTTCTACTCCATCAGATTTTAACTTGACAAAGAGATTTTAACTTGACAATGCAGTCAGAAGAGACTGCATTCATGTATTGCCCACCACTCTATCAACACCAATAGTTATATGGATGGGGAACCAATGGACTGAACCCAAGGGCACTCTACCACTGAGCTATATCCCCATCCCTTTTTATTTATTTTGAGACAGGATCTCACTAAGTTGCCTGGGCTGGCCTCAAACAAATCCCAGAGGCCCCCATGCTTAGCCATGAAAGTTTCAGAACAAATTAGATGGCTGTGTGAAGGAAAACATTCCTGGTGAAAGGAATAGTTAATATTTTCCAGTGTGTCCTATGACTAAGGTCTAAAGCTAAAAGTTACTGAAGTAATCTTACTTGAAATATTTTTGGTTTTTTTATATTAAAGAACTCATACCTTTTTCAAAACCGAAGAATCTGGAACTTCAACTGTTGTGATATAAAACCATGTTCTTCTGTACTGGCCAAAGACAAAGGGATGGAGAACTTCGTTTTCATCTGTAAGGCAGCATTTTCTGAGTAGCAGATTCCTTAACGCAGCTGTCGTGGAAGGATAACACCACACCCACAGTACTTCTCCATTTGTGTCCTTTTCTATGGTGGAAAGATGGTCACTGTGAGAATGTCAAACAGCAGCAAGGAAGTGAATTGATTGGTTACTTAGAAGCACCCAGTGGAATCAGTTCAATACCTCACTTTATAAAGCAACCAAGAGAACTTGAGACCCTGAAGCCCAGTGAATTCATGATTCTGAACAGTAGGTCATCTGAATAAAAAGCTTTTTATAACAAGCTACGAATGCAATTTTTTTTTTTTTTTTTTTTTTTTTTTTTTTTTTTTGGTCTTTTTGAGACAAGGTCTCACTATGTAGTTCAGGCTGGCCTTAAGCTCACTTTGCAACCCAAGCTGTTCTTGAACTCACAACAATGTTCCTGCCTGAGCCTCCTAAGTGCTAGGATTATAGAAATGCATCACCACACTTGGCTTTTGAAAATCTATTTTTTAAATCTTATTTATTAGTACATGTTTGTAGTACATAATGACTGCATTCATTGTGGGGAGTTGGTACAGGTACATAGCATGTCTTCTTTTTATTTTCCCTATTTTCCCACATCTCTTGCTCCCCTTGCAAAAGATCTTTGCAAAAAATCTATTTCCTATTATCTTTTATTTTATATTTATACTTTGGGTTTCTCATATAAGAGAGAGAAACCATGCAATATTTAAGCTTCCATATTCAATTTATTTCACAAAACATTAGTGTCTTAAAATGCACCCATTTTCCTTCAAATGAATCAAATTACCCCTCTTTATGGCTTCAAGATTCAGCTTTTTTTTTTTTTTTTTTTTTTGTACTGGCTTGAATTCACGACCTTGCACCTTCCAGGCAGGTGCTTATGCCACTGAGCTAAATCCCCGCCCAGATTTATCTATTACGATATCTGCTGCTATATGGGTATGCATGTATCACTATGATATGATCTTTAATTCTTTTGAGAAAATATTTACAAGAGAAATAGCTGGGTCAAATGGAATTTCTAGTTTTAATTTTTCAAAGAATTTCCATGCTGATTTCCATAGTGGTTTTACTGGTTTACATTCCCACCAACAATGCAGTTCAACTAGGGTTCTTTTTTCCCTGCAGCCTCACCAGCTATGAATGAAAATTTAGCTTCTGACATCTGTACAGTTCCTATCTCCTGTCACACTTACGTGCATTAGTTTATAATTACATTATGTTTTTATTTTACTGGAAGAATCTAACAAATACATAGAAAAGGATTAAGCAAAAAAAGAAGGATCTGCGTGTAGGTCAGAGGTATAGCACTTGGTAACGTGTAAAAGAGGGCCTAGGTTTTATCCTCAGCATCACAAACAAAACAAAAAAAAAGTTTGCTAGAAAGAAAAAATGAAGAAAACGGTGCAATTTCTTTCAAATTATGTTACATATCAATTTTACAAGTTCTGTATTTAAAAATGTATTCTTGGACCCAGGATTTAGCTCAGTGGCGTTAGCACCTGCCTGGCAAGTGCCCCCCAGTACCAAAAAAAAAAAAAAAAAAATTACCTTTTGTATTTCTTTTTTCCTTTTGTCATTTTTTCAAACCTACTGTATTTCAAAGAGACAAAAAAATTATTTTGTGCTGCTGGGGATGGAACGAAGGCTTCAGACAAATTAGGCAAGCTTTCTACCACTGAATTACACCCCTAGCTCATAAAAGTTTTTTTAATAAAAATAAAGGTTATTCAGTCATATATATAATATCTTTATCATCAAATACCTCAAATACAAAAAGGAATTTTGCTAACAACAAAACTTGAGGGACTAAAGGTATAGCTCAGTAGTAGAGCATTTGCCTGGCATGCATAAAGAAATCCCTGTGTTCAATTCCAGAATTACAAATAATTTTTCTTTCAATTAAGAAAAAACATCAGCAAAAGAAGCCCAAAATTTTAGAGTAACATCTACCGAACATATAGTGGTAAAAATCCAATTTTTGATCTACAGATTTTTAAAAATTCTTTTTAAAGCAGGTGTGGTGGCTCATGGCTATATCCCAGCACTTGGGAATCTGAGGCAGGACTGCCGGAAATTCATGAGTTTGAGACTAGCCTGGATTACATAATGAGTTCAAGACCAGCCTGAACTACATAGCCAGACTGTGTCTCAAAACTCCCCTTCTCAAAAAGCTAAAATAAAAAATGGTCTTTTATTATGGAAACTATCAATTATATAAAGCAGAGACAACAATTCCCTGACCTTCAACAATCAAATTATCATCTGGTCTTCCTTGTTTCATGAGTTATGGACCTCCCCATCCCCAACCTTTTTTTGTTTGTTTGTTTGAGACAGGGTCTAGCTATGCAGTTCAGCCTACCCTTTAACTCACTATGCAGCCTAACCAGGTTATTGAATTCGAAGTGATTCTCCTGCCTCAGCCTCCTGGGATTACAGGTGTGTCATCAGGCCCAACTCTTCCCTTTTTTATGGTGTACCTCTTTTATTGGGAGGGGTAAAGGGAATCGAACTCAGGACCTTACATTTGCCAGGCAAGTACTTGTACAGCCGAGCTTATACTCCAGCCCTCCTTTTTTTGTTTTATTTTATTTATTTTTTTAAAAATAGAGATCTGGGGGTTGGGGATTTACCTCAGCAGCACAAGCACCTGCCTGGCAAGCAGGAGGTTGTGAATTTGATCCCCAGTACCTAAAAAAAGAAAGAAAGAGAGATCTAGCCTTGTTGCCCAGGCAGTTTCCAAACTCCTGGGCCTAACTCCTAGGTTCAAACAACTCTCCTGCCTCAGCCTGCAAAATAGCTAGCTCTACGAATGTGTCACTCATTCCTTATTTGGAACAAATCCCTTCTAAATGCACATCAATATGAAAAATAAAAACTCACTGGATTAAAAATACAACCCTAAAAAAAAATACAATCGTAAGTCATCTTTTTCTCTGCTGTTACTGACATCAAAGTGTAACTCAGCCTTAATTTAGAACTACCTTCTGGTAAAACTAAGATGCCCGGTGTACTTAGGTTTTGCTTTGATGCAGATTTTTTTTTTTTTTTTTTTTTTTGTCTTTTTCCTTTTTATCGGTACCGGGGCTCAAACTCACGACTGCCTGCTTGCAAGGCAGGCGCTTATGTCGCTGAGCTGAATCCCCAGCCCCTTGTTTTCTTTTCTTTTTTTTTTTTTGGCTTTGATGCAGTTTTTTAAAAAATCACTTTAGAAATGCATACAGGCAGCCTCTCCCACATAAATGCACTCAATGCATTTGACAATGAAAAATGACTAGCATATTTCCCCAGTTTTACTAAGCCTAAGCAATGCTCCTGTTCATTTAGGGGATAGAAAAACTATTTAGGAGTACGTTCATTCATTCAAGCAACCTGGTGCTTTCTGTCACCTAGGGACAAACAGTTCTTAGAAATACCCACTCATCCCCGAAGCACTGAACTCGGCTCACGCACACACTCCGCGCTGCCTAAAGATTCCAACAAACTTCCCCACTCATCAATTCCTCCACACTAACCAGGTCTCAGGTGTGCTTATATAGGAACTCCACAGCTGGAGCTTGGCATACTGGAGTTCTTCACAGGTAGGAGTAGGGGTTAGGGTCTATGCTGCCGGGGAGCCAGTCCTGGCTCTGCCACATCCTACCGTGTGTCCTTAACAAATGACATCCTGTGCTTCCATCTGACTTCACCCACCCACCCATTCCGGGAGCCGTAAGTGGGAGACAATTGTGCAGCACACGCCGAAGCCCAGCTGGCCGGGTGGTCACGCGGGATCCCCGCGCTCCGAGGCGGCCTCCCGGCGGGACCCAATCCAGTTCCCTCGCCGGCCAGCCAGGGCCGCGCAGTCGCCGGAACCTCGGCACCTGGACCTCGGGGTCCCGCCGGGCACCTCCATGTTTCTGTCGGGTCCCGGCTGCCTCCGGCCAGGCAAGCCCCAGGCGCGGTCGCTGGAGCACCGGCCAGGCGGGTCCCAGCGCCAAGGAGGCCGGGTGCGCTGCCGGGTGCGCTGCCCCCAGCCCAGGCCCCACACTGGAGGGCGCCGCGCCTCAGCACGCAGGCGGCGCCCAGGGCCTAGGAGGTGCGGAGGCGGAACTGGGTGCGGCCCTGGAGGGCAAGGCGCCTGCGTTCTCACCGATCAGCCCCACTCCGAGCAACAGCTGAGTGTCCGCCGCCTCAGCCGCAGCCATCTTCAGCCGCCTCGCGCCGATCCAGCTCCAGATCTCGGGCCCCGCCCTCCTCCCGGCTCCGCCCTCCTCTGAGTTCCGCCCCACTCCAGGACCCACCTGCGACTCCATCTAGCCCTCCTCGCACCACGCCCATGCTCAAGCTCCGCCCCGTTCTCTGGAGGCCTAGTCCCCGCCTCTCGGGACTTCCTGCTATGGCTCCTCCATTTGGCTCGAGATGGCTGCCGCTCCCTCTGAAACTTCGTTCACAAGACCAATTCAGGTCTTTCACCCAACACTACAGTGTCTCTAATCCAGGCCTTCATCCGCTTTCTCAACCCACTCCAATTTTCTTTTTCTTATTTCCTCATTCTATCTCCGTCCCCGAGTCTTGCTCAAGAGAGCATGGTTTTTAGTTCCTGAAAATTGAGATCTCCATCTATTCATTCAGGCATTCTGAAATCGAATACAATAAAAAAGGAAAAAAATCACCTCCAAAACATAAACTCATAACTTAATGTACACTGGCCACAGTTTATCAAAACAGAACATTCCAATAGAAAAGACAGACAACTTCGTAAAATGTGTAACACGGTACTAGGACAGCTCAGAGTGATTATCTCAGTGAACACAACAAAACCGTGCAGGATGTTACTGTATTTCCTAGAAAATGAGGCCTAACTGGAAAATAAGCCCTAGCATGATTTTTCAGGATGCTCATAATATAAGCCCTATCACAAAAATAAACCCCTGCTAAAATTGTCGGCCAGATAGACACATGAAAGTACATCTGTTGCAACACATGAAGGACACTTTGAACCATAAGACAATGCTAATATATAAATAAATAATATTAATATTAACACTTAATTTGTAAGTACCCAAACAGGAGCCTTTGGAGGAGAGATAAACCCCTATGTAAAAGTGAACTGGAGACTTATTGCCAAATGACCCATCAAAGTACAAACATGAGACACAAATAATAAGTACACTTCATAATGAACGGACATGGGTGTGTCTAATATGAATTCTAATTTAATATGTCATATGTTGGGGCTGGGGATTTAGCTCAGCGGCATAAGCGCCTGCCTTGCAAGCAGGCAGTCGTGAGTTTGATCCCTGGTACCGATAAAAACGAAAAAAAAGTAAAAAAAAAAAATTAATATGTCATATGTTGTAATGATGCACTTTGAGCAGGCTACATGGACAAGAAGTGGTCATTTAGCTCTATTGCTGTACGTGAGAGATCGGAGCCAATGCCATAAGAAATGGAGCAGCGGGGCTGGGGATTTAGCTCAGCGGCATAAGCTCCTGCCTTGCAAGCAGGCGGTCGTGAGTTCGATCCCTGGTACCGATAAAAAACCGAAAAAGAAAAAAAAAAAAAAAAAAAAAAAAAGAAATGGAGCAGCAAGAAATTCAGTAAAGAATTTGAGGTTTAGAGAGTTATGATGATGTTCCAAAGGAAAGTGACACCATTGTGTTTGAATAAATGTAGAGTTTTGTACATGAATAGATATAGAAAAAAGCGCTCCCTACTTCCTGGAACACAATCCCATCCATATCTTGCTTGAGCTTTCTTAAAAAATTACTATGGGGGCTGGGGATTTAGCTCAGCAGCATAAGCGCCTGCCTTGTAAGCAGGTAGTCGTGAGTTCGATCCCCGGTACCGATAAAAAGGAAAAAGACCCCCCCCCCCCAAAAAAAATTACTATGAGCAGAGCATGGTGGTGCATACCTGTAATCCCAGCACTCTGGAGGCTGAGGCAGGAAGCTTATAAATTCCAGCTCAGCCTGGATAACTTCATGACTTCGGGAGAACTTGTCTCAAAATAAAAAATAAAAAGGGCTGGGGATATGGCTCATTGGGAATACCCTGGGATCCATCACCAGTACTGGAAAAAATCACTATGAAGTATTTATAGTTATAAACCAACTATCAAAAGACAAAATTGCCACAAATTTAATGACCCACTTGATATGTTGGCTGCAAGTGATATTTTTGAGCTGCTGTTTTCAAGAGAAGTTAGGGTACCATAGAAATAGTTTCTGGCACCCCGCACGCATCTAATACGAATTGCCCAAGAATAGGTAGATTGGTTTGCTAAAGCTGCTATAAAAAGTACCGCAGACTGCAAGGTTTAAATAACAGAAATTTCTTTTTTCTTTTTGTCTTTTTTTTCCCCCCCTTTTTATCAGAAACTTATTTTCTCACAGGTCTGAAAGCAAGAAGTCTTGAGACAGGACGTGTTGGCTGGTTTGGTTTCTGCTTGCCTGCAGCTCCCTGTTCCTGTGGTCTTTCCTCTGCAGCACGCCCTGTGGCAGGTCACCTCTCTGTGTCCATTTTTTCTCCTCTTTTTTTTCTTTAGAGACAGACTCTAACTCTGTAGCCTAGGCTGACCTCAAGCTCATAGCAATCCTCTGCCTCTCTGAATAAATGTAGAGTGTTGTATAGGAGAAAAATAAGACATCCCCCGAAAATAAGCCCTAGAGCATGTTTTGGGGCAAAAAGTAACGTAAGAACCCATTGTATTTTCTTTTTTTTTTTTGTCTTTTTCGTTTTTACTGGTACTGGGGATCAAACTCACAACTGCCTGCTTGCAAGGCAGGCACTTATGCCACTGAGTTAAATCCCCAGCCCCAAGAACCCATCCTATTTTCAGGAACATATGGTAGTGAATGGGCTGCTTTAAATTGGGTGTGAAGGGAAGTTTCTTTGATGAAAGGATACCTGAACCGAGATCTGAATGACAGAAGAAACTGGATAGTAAATCAAGTGTGTAGCTCTTGGGTCCCTCTTTCTGGAAACTGCTTAGCCAGCCACCACCTCCAAATCACTTTGAGTCACTAGAAGTAACCACTTCTTGTCTTGCAGTAAAAGAATGAACCCAAGTTCACCTAGTTCAGTGATGACTTTTTATTTATTTATTATTTTTTTTAACTCTTTGTGAGACAGGGTCTCACTATGCAGTTCAAACTGATCTTGAACTCACTGGCCTCAAACTAGCAACAATCCTCTTGCCTCAGCCTCCTGAGTGCTGGGATTATAGTTATGTGTCACCACACCCATCTGACAGTGACCTTTTAGAGATGAGTGCCCAAACTGCAACCCAAGACTTACTTATATATTGCAAAGTGCCACCACTGCAGTTAAACCTGAATTCTGAGATTTTAGTTTAGAAAAAGCAAATCATATGCTAATATCTTTTGTCTTAAATGAAAAACAAATAACACACATGCCATAAGTTCACTGTTGAAGATTGCAGTAGTCTTCCTTGGATGGCAAGATATATAATAACATTTTTTGGTGTGTGGGTTTGGAGAAGAAATGTCCTATTGGGGACACGATACCTCCAAGGAGAGAAAGTGGTAAGGGATTTGTGTGAGGAATGGTGGCCTTTGGAATTGGGCCTGATCTGCTCCCCCAAGAGTAGCTAATCCCTCTGGACAGGCTGGGTGTTGGAGCTGGGGCAAGAGCCCTGGTGTCAAGAGTTTATCGGCAAGTCAGAAAGATCATTTTTCCTCCCCTAAGAACCAGGACAAGGATCCACTCCCTATATAGCATCATCAGAAGCCACTGGGCAAACTCAGGCTTCCACAGAGACCAGCAAGGTTTGAGAGGCAAAATGAAGTGGAATGATCCAGGACTCTTTCATGAGCTCCCTAGATTTGTTTGCTGGACTGAGAATAAGCCCTGGGTTCTGGAATTTCTAGTGCATCATCCAGGCAGCTGTAACAAAATGCCATGAACTAGGTGGCTCACACAACAGAAATTTCTTTCTTTTTGGTACCAGGGATTGAATTCAGGACTTTGTACCTGCCATGTAGGCATTTTCCACTGAGCTAAATCCCCAGCAGAAATGTCTTTCTTTCTTTTTTTACTAGGATTGAACCTAAGCAGGGCTTTGTGTATGCAAAACAAAATCTCTATCACCTAGCCACGTACCCAGTCCCAGAAATTTATTTCTTACAGTCTGGAGACCAGAGTTCTATATCAAGGTGCTGGCAGTTTTCATGTTTTATAAAGGCTGCTTCCTCATAGCAGCTGACTTCAAACTGAAACCTCCTGTAGCAGAAAGGGAGGGGGTCTCTTGACCTATTTATTTATTTATTTATTGGTCTTTTTTGTTTTTATCGGTACCAGGGATCGAACTCACGACTGCCTGCTTGCAAGGCAGGCACTTATGCCGCTGAGCTAAATCCCCAGTCCCACTTGACCTATTTATTAACCACTTTATTCTTGAGGGCTCCATGGTCATGATTAACTCCAAATGGCTCCTCCCTCCTAATATGATCATTTGGTAGTTAGGATTTCAATATATGAATTTGGGTGGTGAGACAATGTTATATAACAACTGGAAATAAGCCATTAAGAAGTACTGAATTCACACATAACAAGGCAGGTGGATGCTCTAAAATTTAATATGAAAGGAACATGATTTTAAATACATATTAAGTTATGGCAGTGCAAATGATTTCATGAGGAAATGCTAGATTTTATTTAATATGGGATTTATTATTTAGGTATTTTTGAGGCAGGGTCTTGCCATGCAGTTCAGGCTGGCCCTGAACTCACTATGTAGCCCAGGCTGGCTTCCCACTCATGGTGATCCTCCTTCCTCAGCCTTCTGAGTGCTGGGCTTATGGGTGTTTACTGCCATGCCCAATTTTAATATGTGTTTTATGCATCTATGGGAATGAAGATGTTTTATAAGGTGGTTTGGCAATATCTATGAAAATGGAAAAGTGGTTGCCCATGCTGGTGCAGGCCGGTAACTCCAGCACTCAGGAGGCTGAGGCAGGAGGGTCACTGTGAGTTTGACACCAGCCTGGGATACATAACGAGAACTAGTCTCAAAACAAACAAACAAATCAAAAAATAAATAAACAAAAATGGAAAAGTATGTTTGTTTCCCTCGGTTTTTTTTATTGTTGTTTCTTTTTTCTTCCCCTTGTTTTTTATTTGAGTTCTTACCAAGTTGCCTGGGTTGGCCTTTGATTTGTGATTCTCCTGCCTCAGCCTTTAAGTATTTGGAGTTACA